AGAGACAATTCATTCTTTTGGTACTGAGCCCCCTGCTGGCACCAGACTTCTGAGGTAGGAAATTAGAAAAGAACAAACAACCCCAATCCTTGCTGTGAAATGTTTCCACTCTGAAGTGGAAGGACCAAAAAAAAAAAAAAAAAAAAAAAAAAAAAAATTCAATAAATCCACAAATAAGCAGTAAGCCAGTATCAGGAATACTAGGTATGAGAAGGGGCTAGGTCAGTTTTTTCATGAATGGTTTTTGAGCCCACACCTAAAAAAAACAGGTGAAGAAACCATACAAAAAGCATTCTACATAGCTGGGGAGTTGTTTAAAGTCACTGGAGAAAAAAAAGGGAGCAGGTGGATGGAAGGGCAGGGATGAAGCCTGAGGGCCAAGAGGCCCAGTGGAGCATGGAAGGATCTTGCTTTTTCCTCTGAATCTGAGCTGGGAAGACTTTTCAGTGACTTGGCACCCCATAGGCTCGGCACAGCTTTGCTCCTGTAGGGGCTTAACTCTGACTGACTTTGTCCAGGCCGGTCTCTGCAGGATGGCAGGGCAGACAGGCCGCCTCAGAATTCCACAGGTTTGCTGTCTCTGAGTCAGACCTCCATGCTTCATCCAGTGCCTCTGACCTGGTGGCTGCCTGGGACTCCTTAGGGCAGGAGGGTGGAGTGGCCGCCAGGCTGGCGGGCTGGCAGGGCAGGGGGGCAGCATTTCTGGGAATTGTGTGGGGGAAGCACATTGTTAGAGCAGGCCTTCAGCTAGGGCCTCACTGGCCTCTGGGGGATGCCTCCTGCCTCCCTAGCATTGCCTCTGGGGGAGGAAGCTGGATCCTGGCCAGGCTGTGAGCTGGTGGGGGACTTTCCAAACGGACGTTTCCATAAAGCTATGGCTCTTCCCATTCTGTAGACTAGGAGACTGAGGCTCAGAGACCTGGCAGTTACACAGACAAAGCCAACATCTACGCACCCAGCCTCCACCTCCTCCCCTCATCTGACCAGAGATTCTTTTATCTGTCACTGGTTACTGCTCTGACTGACCACAGAAGCCAATGTCCAAGGAGGGACTGGCTGTGGTTGTGGATCCACAGAGCGCTATGGTGGAGACCCACAATTCCCACAAATGGGCTAGAGGACCTGCATGCAGGGGGGGGGACTACCATATGGTGGCAGGAGTAGGACCTCCTGGGGCTGAGGATGCCTCCCAGTCTGTGATGATGGGAAACAAGGGGCTCCGTGTGAGCTTGGCATTGTGAGTCTTCCCACCCACCAACGCCCTGCCTTGGCCAGAGGGGAAGCTGGCCACTGGGGTCAGGGCCAACTCTGGGCTGACGGGGATGGGGGGTAGGGATCACAAATAGAAAAATAAATGACTTGAGCTTCCGCTGTTTCCTGAGCTGAGGAAGGGGGATGGGCAGGCTTTGGGTCAAAGGTGCAGTTGGACTGATGGGGCAGACTCTGGGGATGTCCCATGACCCCATTCCATTAGGGCATTGCCTGCCGTTTTCAGACCTTCAAACAGGCCTACGTCCACCCCAGGGTCCCTAAGATAGGGCTTTGTTGCTCACTGAGGGTTCCTGAAGTTGGAGATCTATTGCAGGGACAGACTTTTAAGAAAAACTGGGAGTGTGTATGTATGCCCCAGGAAGGTTGGGTGCAAAAGCCAATTGGTGAACTGTGAAGAGCCTCTTTTAGGGAACTTGGGAAAAACTCACCCCCCCCCGTGGTAAGAAGGCCAACAAGGTAGGCAAGGCCATCTGCCAGAAGGCTTCTTTCCCAAATGGTATCACACTGTCTAGGAAACTTTTCATCTCCAAAAGCAGGCAGGTGTGTCCCTCTCCACCATCTTCAGAGGGCTAGGGCAGAGAACAGCACCATGTTGGCATGAACACCTGGGTGAATCTATGGTCTAGATGTTTGGTGGGAGATTCCACTAAAGATAAAGCTCCCAAAGTCAGCAAGGTGTGTTTGTGTGTGTGTGTGTGTGAGGGGTCTGAAGTGTCAGGTGACTTCTCTGAGCAAGGGTCAGAAGGTTGGATTTGGAGCTCCTGGAGGGTCTGGGATCAGAGATTTTTGTTTGTTGCTTAGAAAGCTCACTCTTATATGCCTCTGAGGATGACCTTGAACTTCTAATCTTTCTGCCTCTACCTCCCAAGTGCTGGGAGTACAGGCAAGGTACCTGTGATGCCTGGTTTATATGCAGTACTGTGGATTGAACACAGGGCTTCCTACATGCTAAGCAAACACTACCAACTCAGCTAATCTCCGAAGCTGGAATGTGGAAATCTCTGGCTGGTTAGTAGCAGCTCCACAAGGGAGGACCCCTCAGGACTGAACACAGTTTTGATCTGGCGTCTTTGTGATCCCAGCTCCCCTGCTGGTGACATAGTGGGCTGTCCTCTGGAAGGATCAGAGGCTTGGGCAGGTCTGTAGGTTTCTCCTGCCACCTACAGGCTGGTGTTGCTCATCACTGGGACTAGCTGGGGCTGGGACTACTTACTCAGTGGGATGGTGGACAGCCCTTTTGATGGGTGTCAACCTTCAGCCAAACAGAGCTTGGCTGGGTGGCTCCCTTACTGCCTGTGCTGTGGTAGGGTCCTGCAAGTATTAACTCAATGTTCAAACACAGGGTTCCCTGTGTTCCTTTATTTGGGGTGGTTAGGCCTCCCTTCCACTAAATCCCCAATCTTAAATAAGAGAAAAGGTTAGTGGGGAGAGGGGGTCCAAACCCCTTTGCTTCTCCCAGATTTTTAGGGTCAAGGTGTTCTTTTAGGGCTCTATACCAATCTCCGTTAACCACAGACGCAGCCAGCAGTCTCCTCCACGCCGGCTGCACCCTGAAGCGTTTCTTTCCACCTGTCTGTTCCAAACCGCTACACCGTCTCTGGTCTCTCCAAACTGCTACCCGCCACACATCACACACCAATACCAAACTCCACACCTTCTCTTTCTTGGCTCTCATATTTATACCCTCAGAGTCCTAGAGAGTGGCATGCCCCTGTCCCTGCCACACGTGGTAGGCTGTTTTACCAGCTGGCAAAGGCCACACTTCACACAAGACAAACGATAGCACAGCTAAAATCCCACACCTGGGATTAAAACAAAAGCATATTTACATAACGTACAAAGAAACCAAAGCTTCCGTTACAGTTCCCTTTCCCAGAATTTGTTTGGTTGGGTTTAGCTTAGAGCAAGGACCCAGCTCCCAGTAAAGGGCAGAATCAGAGCTGGTATGGAGGCTGTACAGCCCTGTTCATCCGTCACTACACCTCTGGAAGAGCTTTGTTACCTACAACAAATTCCATGCTTTTCCTTATGGTAAAGGTGTCCTAATCGGCTAAATGGTCAGCCCAGACCATTTGTATATTCCACTTGCCCTCTTGCCTCCTGGTCACTGTGGGTACTGTTGTACTATAAGAAAAGCTGCACATTGATTACTTGGACAGCAGACTCCAATAGATGGAAGTATTTTTTTAATGATATTTATTTATTTATTTATTTTATGTATATAACTTCTCTATCTGCTCTACCTGCATGGCGGTAGAAGAGGGTACAGATGGTTGGGAGCCACCACGTGGTTGCTGGGAATTGAACTCAGAACCTCTGCGAGAACCGAGAGTGTTCTTAACCTCTGGAACAGATTTGCAGCTCCCAAATGGAAGTTTTTTGAACACTGAGCCCTGACTGGTCAGGGATCTGAGAACCAAGGCGTGACACTGGACCATTTTTAAGGCAGGCTTTTTTATAAGAAAAACTGTAACCAGGTAACAACCAGGTAACCAGGTGTAGGAAACAAGGGGAGGGCAGCATTATATCATTTTGACTAGCTAAACAACGCATGACCTTTAATTTGATTGGCCCTGCAGTGGGGACTTTACAGAATGTCCAGGAAATAAAGTATACAAAGTTTGAGAAATGAAACCATAGAGACGTAACAATATAAGAGGTTATTCTGACCTTACAAAGTGTCAGCATATTAATCATTGGGAAGCAGAACCTGAGAACCTGAACGTAATTTTACTTCATGATCAAGATGGAGACTAAAGACAAAATGGCTTCACTTATGCCAAAGAGGAAAGCAGGTGTCAATACAGGAGCTACCGTTACACTGAAAACTAAAGTAGGGCTCAACAGAGATAGTTATGTAAAAAGTTAAAGCAGGACTCAACAAGTGCAACAATTCAGACAACTATCTTTTGGCACCAGAACGCCTGCCACCATCTGTAGAGACGAGGAAAGGCGTACCTCACTTGTGTGAGCATGCATATAGTCTTCCTGAGGCACTGTCTCAGTACCTGATTGCTTCAGTTCCCTGCCCTGTTCTCAGTGTATACTGTGAATCGGATGATCCTGACCACATCCTCAGTCATCCTCACTTCACAGGTTGGGAGACAGAGATGGAGAGCAACATGCAAAACCTGGGATTTACACTCTTTTAGGTTGACTTCGGAACCCGAATAACCCCACCCCATACCGTTTTTTTTTTTTTTTTCTTTTCTGTGTAGCCCTGGCTGTCCTGGAAATAGCTCTGTAGACCAGGCTGGCCTCAGAGATCCCCCTAACTCTCCGCCTTTCGAGTGCTGGGATTAAAGGCATGTGCCACTACTGCCTGGCTAAAGCCTGAATTCTTCGGTCTTTGCAGAGTCCGGGGCCTAGACCTCACAGTGTACGCCGCATCTGCGCGGAGGGAAGAATGACCCGAACTCGGCTTGAAAACAGTGGGGTGTGTTAAGTCCAGCGTGGTTTAGGGTCCCGACCGCGCGCACTTCTAGCAAGTGGAGGCGACCGGAGTCGACCAGTGAAGGGCAAGTGGCTCAGATGGGAGCCCCGTAGGGCTCCACTTCTCCCTCCTCTAGTTGCAGCCGCTCCCTGGCATTTGGAGGGCATGTGGGGCGGAGGTCTGGCGGAGGTACCGACGGAACTACCTCTTCCAGCGGGCCGCGCGCCTAACGCCGCGCAGTCGTCTGGGAGTTGTGGTCCCGGGGGCGGAGATTCTTTATTACGTTGCACGCGGCCGCCAGGCGGAGGTTTGGACCGCGGGTCTAGGCTGCGGCAGCCGAGGTCGGGCCGGGCGGCGCAACCGGCGCAACTCCCCGCCACCGAGGTGGTGATGGGCAAGGAGGAGGAGATTGCGCGGATTGCCCGGAGGCTGGACAAAATGGTGACCAGGAAGAGCGCGGTGAGGGGCGGGGGCCGCCAGGACCCTCTGAACCTCCCCCTCGGGCAGAATGACACCTAGCCCAGTGGAGACCCCTTCTCCAGGCCCGCCCTCCACCTTGTCCTGGGACTGCCGCTTCGCACTGGACGCCACGCTGACTGAGAGCTGCCCTCTGTCCCGTTGCCCAGCGGTGGCAGCGGACGTTCTTGGCCCAGCCGTTATCTCCCCTCTCTTCCCCACCCTCCATAACCAGGTTTCTCTAATAAAATATTTCCCCTGCTTTGTCAGGCTTCAGGCAGCCGGTATGGGCAGACAGTAGAAATTCCAAGATGAGTTTGTGGCCTTGAGACCTGAGGAGACCGACTCTGCCCGTCGCCTGGCCCGGGGCAGTATGGGCTTGGCAGTCCAGCCTGCCTTCCAACCGTGGCCACCTGCGTAGCCTTTCCAGAGGCATCCTTACGGGATGATGGCACCTGCATCTTGCCGTCCGTGGGTGGGAAGGCGCTAGGAGGTGGTCTTAGGGCTAAGTATGGCCCGCTCATTCACAGCATCACTCCCAAAACAGCCCTGATGGTGGCTGAGTCATGAGTGTACAGCTGTGCTTGAAGTGGAAGGCTGCCGGACAGCTTTTGGAGATGACCAGGATTGCTCTGTGTTCCTGTTGGTCAGGATTGGAGGGCTGGGGTCTAAACCAGGAAGGGGGTTGGTTAAGTTTCCATATATCCCTTTACAATGGAAACAGAACCCACTTTGCAATCACCTGAGTTGCTGAGCTCTACTGGTGCTTCTTTCTGCTAAGGGTGTTAAACAAAAATTTCGAACTTGGAACTGAAGATGGCAGAGATGGGGTGGGAATCCATAGGGGCTTGGGAACTGAGTAGAGACACAGCAAGGGTGAAGGCCACAGACAGGACTGTACAGTGGAAAAGGGAAACGGCAGAGGTTCCAGCAACCTGAGAGGTTCATTGGAATAGCTGGTGGTTTGTCTGGGCTTCCCTTGTTGGGAGTGCGGTGCTGTTGCAAAAGAGAGGCCCTGGCTCTGAGGGTTAGTGACCTCAGGAAGTCAGTCACCTCAGGGCTGATTGGTGTACTGTCCCACCGAGAGGAGCCTTAGGGCCACGAAACAAGGCTGCAGCCTGAGCAAATAGTTCACACAGGTTGGAGGGTCAGCCCCAGCCCCTCCCACTGCTTCTAGTAAGGAGGGTTTGAATCCCTGGGTGGGTTCTCTCGACTTCTGTGGCATATGAAGACACAAGAGCTACTAGTGGCAACTTGAAGGACAGCAAACACAACAGTGTTGGGTGTTGGAAGAGTCTGTCTGAGTTGTAGGAAGGAGATGTTTGAATAAAACTTTGAAGAGCTAGGAAGATGAACAGCCTTAAGCAGAGTGAGGGGGTTAAGGTAAGAACAGGAGGAGCCTGCCTGTCCTGGAGGTGTGAAGAACGGAGCTCAGGCAGAGGAAGAAAACAGGGTTGTCAGTTACAATACCTAGGAGAAGGATGGTGGCTCTCAGTATTTACTTAAAAATGATGCCACTCACACAACAGATATTATATGAAAGAGATTTATTGAATGGTGGTGGAAAATGAAAGAGACGTGGTAGTGGTCTCCCAGGAAAGAAATCGAGGCAGGGAAAGTAAGAGAGGAAGGTAAGAGAGAGACAAAATGGTGAGTTGGTCCTTTTATAGCTTATGCACAGCTGACCCACGCCTGCCACACACCTGGTGGTGGGCGACGCATGATGACATCATAGGTTACTAGGCAACCCAGAAGCAGGCTGCCATTACGCTAACAGTGGCCAGTCTGGAAAAGAGATAGAATGGGACTATGGAACTTTTAGGTGCTAACTTTAAGAAAAACTTATCAGCTGGGCGCAGTCATGCACACCTGTAATCCCAGCACTCAGGGAGGTAGAGACAGGCAGATCTCTGTGAGTTCAGACCAGCCTGGTCTACAAAGCAGGGCTATACAGAGAAAACCTCTCGGGGGAGGTGGATGGAGAAAGAAACAAGCATTCTTGTATGGAATATATATTCCATAATATATATATATATAATTTGCATCTGTCATCACTGGCATGTGTATGCGCATGCTCTTGTATATGTGTGTGTCTGAGAACAACTCCTGGAAACTGGTTCTCTCCTTCCACCATATGGGACCTGGAGGTTGAATTTATGTTGTACAGCTTGTTGGCAAGCACCTTTACCTGCCGAGTCATCTTACCTGCCTTTCCCTTTTGACACTGGGTATCGAACCCAGGGCCTTAACATACCAGGCAAGTGCTTTACCACAACCGTTATCTATATGGTGCTCTCTTTGTTTTAAGACACAGGTGTCTATGCTAATCTTGAATTCACTCTGTAGCTCAGGCAAGCTTTGAACTTTTAATCCTCCTGCCCCAGCCTCCTAAGTGTCGGAGATGCTACCACCTGTGTCACCAGTTTTGACAGTTTTTTTGTTTGTTTTTCAAGACAGGGTTTTACTGTGTAGCCTTGGCTGTCCTGAAACTCACAATGTAGACCAGGCTGTCCTCGAATTTAGACATCCGTCTAAATCTGTCTGCCTCTCATATGCTGGACTCAAGGCGTGGGCCATCACTGCCCGGCGGCAGTTTTCAATTAGCAATAATTGTGCCTCTGATAAACCTTGTTGGCTTTGTGCAGTTACTTTGCAAATCTGTGGCTGGAGTAGAGGTTCCTGAGAGTTAAGGCAAAGGATTTTAAGGTGGGACAGAAAGAGCCTGCCTACTCTGGAGGTGCAGCCTGTCTGTAGATACTGAAGAATAGAGAGCTTGGGCAGAGGAAGGAAACCAGGGTTGTCTGTTACAATAGGAGAAGTGCTATCCTGATATGTGGGCACTATGAGGAGAGGCTGCTTTACCACCATGGCAGAGGTATATTAAAGCTAAGGAACCTGAGTTATATCTGAGTGTCCTTCCATGTTGAGCAGGAACTGGGGCATTTTTTTCCCCTCTAGTAGTTTGTTCAGTGTCCTGGTGTAGTTTCCATGAAGTCTGCAGGTTACCACAGATACAGGGTGAGAAACTTCCTGATCTTGAGTACAGCTGTTGAGCTGTTTGCCTCTATTCCTGCCTTGTGGCAGGCTTACAGGAGCATGTATGGAGGGTTCTGGGCATCTCAAGGTAGAAGAGTGGCTTCTTTCTGACATGTAAACAGTCCCTTATGTGATCAGAAAGAGGTGGGGTTGTCCACTAAGGATCCCCTCCCTGCAGCAGGGTTTCCCTGTGTAGTCCTGGCTGTCCTGAAACTCACTCTGTAGACCATGCCAGTTTGGACCTGAGAAATTCACCTGCCTCTGTCTCCTGAGTGCCAGGATTAAAGGCGTGTGCCACCACCACCCCGAATCCACTAAGGTTTAAAGTCCTTTATGAAAGTCCCTTTTCCTTCCAGGAGGGAGCCATGGATTTGCTGCGGGAGCTGAAGGCCATGCCTGTTACACTGCACCTGCTCCAGGTAAGCTCTTCCTGTCCTGGTCCAGGATAGTTCCAGAGACAGCAATCCCAAAAGCATCTAGCAGGGCTCCCCATATTAACTCCCACATGGCTTAGCTGGCATAAACAACTGTCCTAAGGAGAGGGTTTCCGATTATCTCTGGCGACCAGTGAGGTGGGAGGTGGGTGCTCTGGCTTCCAAATGAGATCATAGCCATTGTCCCTGCTCATCTTCCAGCTGTTCCCTGTGGGAGCCAAGAGTCCTTGGTGAGGAACTGCCTCTTGAGCAGGCACCTACCACCTGTGACTCAAGGCCATTTGAGTCATTTGCTTTACAGTCCACCCGTGTTGGGATGTCTGTCAATGCCCTGAGGAAGCAGAGTTCGGATGAGGAGCTCATTGCACTAGCCAAGTCCCTCATCAAGTCCTGGAAGAAGCTCTTGGGTGCAGGTCAGAATGTAAGGGGTGGCTCTTGCTGGCAGCACAGTACTGGCCCTGCTATCCTGATTCAGGCTGTCTGGCAGTGGGATACAGCAGACACAGATGAGAAAACTACCTATCCCTGGGCTGGAAGTGGATAAGGATGATGAAAGATGGGTGTCATCTGTTGTGGTGGGAAGGGGAAGGCCTGGGGGGCATGGCCATTGAGACAAGGGTGTATGCTGGGAAGGAGGTTTTCAAGCTGCAGGAGGTCAACAGAAGAGGAGGTCTAGGTCAGGATGCTCCCGCTGAGGATGCAAGAGGTGAGCTAGGCAGACTGCGGCCGTTTCTGGGGACAGTGGACAACTGGGCTGCACAGAGGCTCCTGTTGATTAGGAAGGCAGCCATTCCTGGACTCTGCCTACTCCTCTGTGAGACAAGCCAGTCCCTGTCCCTCTTTACTGTCACACGTCCTGGTCCCTAGTTTGGGCTGTGGGAAGACCCTGCCCATGTTTTCAGAAGGAGCCTTGTATGAGGCATATGCTTCTTTTCTGGCCAGGTGGGGCCTTAAAGAGTCCCACCACAGCTTGCCTGAGGAGAGTGGGTCATGAAGAGGCTGGTGGGCTTGCTGGGTACTAAAAGGAAGGTCTGGTGGCCTTCTGGCACCTTGCCTGCTTAATGGCTTTAAGCAGTAAGGATAATGGTCAGGCTGAGGCTGGGCCAGCACCTGGCTTCCTGCTCCTGACCAGTCTATACCAACCATTTTTTTATATTGGCAGATGTTTCTAATGGCAAATCCAGGGATCAAGGGAGGAGTGCACCATTGCCCACATCATCTTCAAAGGACGCCTCAGGGACCACGGATCTCAGGTAGCATACCTGAAGGCAGGTACATACATTTCTGTGTCTTGCCTCAGTTTCTTCAGTGAGGAAAGGAGGCTGATCTCCATTTGCCTGGTTACTGCTCTGAGGGAAGGGCCCTCTCCAGGGTTCCATTTATAAGGTTAGTCAGCCTCATGCTGGATATCATCCCACTGCTTAGTTCCTTTCTTGCCCATCTGAGATGTCTGGCTGTGTCTGCCTGGCTGTCAGTAGCATCACTGAGTCCTTCATTAGCTACTACCCAACAGAGCTGGCCCAGCCCCAGGCCTCCTCCTTGTCTACTTCCTCTTTTGCTGCTCAGCAGGATTGGTGAATGGGTTCCCTCATGAAAATGCTATCCAGAGCTAGAGGAAGGCCTGGCTCATATCTCCACATTCAAGCGTGGCCACACCACTACCTTAAAGGTGGTCAGGGCAGCCCTGTCACTGTGGAGACTAAGAGTACTGTTAGTAACAGACTATGGATGAGAGGCTACTTTGACCAGATGTAGCAGTGGCCAAGGCTGGGCTCAGGCCACGACAAGCTAAGCTCTGGACCCCAGTGTATCAGTCCTGATATGATTTTGTGTCCTGAGCTCATTAGCACATCTATATAATTGATTTTGCTCCAGAGAGCCACCTGATGCTGCTGATTTCCAGAGGTATGTGAGGAAAGGGCCTACTGGGCACAGCATGATTTATGGGCAAGTCTTGTGTTAGGCCCAGATGTGAGGAGATCCTTGCCCAATTTCATTTGTGTTGACTGTGGTTACCTGTGACATTAAGACTTGACTTTGGTGCTGGGTGCGGTGGTACACACCTGTAATCCTGGCAGAGGCAGGTGGATCTCTGTGAGTTCCAGGCCAGCCTGGCTAGCCAAGGCTACACAGAGAAACCCTGTCTTAAACAAACAAACAAACAAAAACAAAAACAAAAAAATAAACAGAAAAACCTTGACTTTGGGGACCCACATCTTTACTGGAGCCAACTAGAAGTATCTGCCATCAACAGAGGTATTCACAGCACAGCCCATGTCTTGGGCCTCTTGGGAAGCACTCTGGAGGTAGCAGGACTATCTCAGCCCATTTTGATCACAGAGCAGTGCTCAGACACTCTTTGTTAGGATCTGGCATCTACTTGGGGTGTGATCTGTGGCTCACTGCGGGCCCTCCAGCCAGTGCTCTGCTCTGATGAGGAGGCCAGAACACACAGGCATTCTGGGCTGAACTAAGGATAGATAAAGTCTTTGGGCCTAGTTGGAGGTCTGTCAGGATGGAGCAAATGGACTTTGGAGGTCAGCATGGTATCCACATTTGCTTTTCTGGGGATCACCTATGGCCCAGGAAGGGTCAGGGGATCACTAAGAGAGGATCCTGGGCAGCCTACCAGTGGTGGCCATCAGCTGCTGGAGGTATGCATCTGAGCTCAGCAGGTTCAGTCCGAACCCAGCTTTGTGTCTCTAGCTGCAAGAAGCCAGACCCACCTAGGACCTCATCCACTCCAAGGATCACCACATTTCCACAAGTACCCATCACCTGTGATGCTGTGCGCAACAAATGCCGTGAGATGCTGACTTTGGCCCTGCAAACGGACCGTGAGTAGCACAAGCTCTGGATTTGACACTTGTCCAGATTCATGGGGTGGCCTGGGCCTCTGCCTGCTTCAGAGGTTGCTGCCAGAAAGACAGCTCTTCTCTTTAGCCCACTATGAGGAAGCTAGTGTTTTTTTTTTTTTTTTTGGGGGGGGGTCATCATAACACCTGTATCTTGGGAGCTGTCTCCCAGGAATGCAAGTGTCCTATTTAGCTTCTGGGGCTCTATACAAGAAGATGGGTGGCAAGAGGAAAAAGCCAGCAGGGGGAACTAGTGAGGGCTCCCTCTTACAGATGACCATGTGGCCGTTGGTGTGGACTGTGAGCATCTGTCAGCTCAGATCGAGGAGTATATCCTTTGTAAAGGTATACAGGGTCAAGGGCTTCCGATGGAGTCTGTGGTCCGTGGGTTGTGCTTCTCCAGTAAGCTGTTGGACATCACTGGTAGGCTACCCAGTGTCTTTTCTAGGTCATCCCCTGACCTTTCCTTGGCCATAGATGGGTAAGTGGCTGTGCCTATGTACTAGATAAATGTGGGTCTCAGCCAGGGACAGGCCTAGAGAAGGTAAAACATGATAGCCCCTCAGCTCCCCAACGTGTCTTGAGTGGGTGGACTCAAGCATCTGGGAAGAACATTACTCATGATTCCCGGAAGGGGGTAGAGCTCAGAAACCTCAGATGGGTCCTTAAATACCCATGCACGTATCTTCCTGGATGTGGGAAACACAGACATGAAGTACAAGAACCGTATTCGGAGCCGAATCTCCAACCTGAAAGACGCCAAGAACCCTGGCCTACGGCAGAACGTACTATGTGGGGCCATCACACCCCAGCAGATAGCTGTGATGACATCAGAGGTAAGCCCCGCTGGAAGGGCTAGGGCAGGCTGCTTCTGCAGAGCTGCAGGCTCAACACTTGACCCCTTTCTCAGGAAATGGCGAGTGATGAGCTGAAGGAGATCCGCAAGGCCATGACTAAGGAGGCCATCCGTGAGCACCAGATGGCTCGCACAGGTGGCACGCAGACTGACCTGTTCACCTGCAGCAAGTGCAGGAAGAAGAACTGCACCTACACACAGGTTGGAGTCCGAGCTATCCTCCTCGTCTGGGACCTCAGGGCACAGTCATCCCCTTCTTGAATGTCACCTATGTCCCTGATTTTGGTCTGGGGCTCTGTGCCAAGGCCAGGTGGCTTGGCCCTGCCCAGTATGGAGGGACAGGAGTGTAATATGTCGTTTGGCTGTGGGATCTTCAGACCCTGCCAAACCTCCCTGGAGGTGGAAGCCGAGGTGCTCTGGGAGACTATCTCAAGAGATATTGGGAAGAAGAGGGTGAATGACGATGGTCTCTTTAGAGAACAGCTCCAGGGCTTGTGTAAACCACCATCTGCAATAGGCTACAGAAGCCTGGGCCTGAGGGGCAGGGCAGCTCAGTCCCCACTACTTACCAGGACTGGCCACTGGTTTGCTCTTGGGTCCCCTAGATGGCCAGAGCCCAGTGGCTTGTCATCTCTGCTGATCTTTTCACTTATATAGACCCTCCTGTTGGGAACCCAGAACTTACCCTACATCGTAGGCTCTACTGAGCACAGTTGTTTAGGCCCATAAAGGCCTCTGCTATGGTGATCCACCTTCTCCATAGGCCTAGTTCTAGGGTGAGGTAGGTCACTGGGCAGTTTCAAACCAAGTCGTCAACAGAGATCAGGGGGTATGAAACCAACACTGCCCAAATCAGGCAGCAAAACCAGAGATTCAGCCATCCACCCTACAGGTGCAGACCCGAAGCTCTGATGAGCCTATGACCACCTATGTTGTCTGCAACGAGTGTGGGAATCGATGGAAGGTAGGTGGGTGGGCCCAGAATGCTTGCCTCCAGTCCCGTCTCAATGCATATTGGGCCTGAAGTAGGAACCAGGGCCCACTGTACCCAGCTAGCCTCCTGGGAGTCTCTGGGATGGTGCCCCAAGCCTATCCTATCTCTGCCCCAGTGGGTTATGGGGGTCCTTGGCCAGATATTTCCCTGCCTTCTTGCAGTTCTGCTGAGCCCTTGTACTGACGTATTGTAGTCCTGGCCATGGCTAACACTGTCCCTCCTGGAATGTTCTTGGTGGACAGTTTCTCTGGAGATCCCCAGAAGGTGGCATACCCCATCCCAGCCTGCCTGCCTGGTGTGCACCTTTCTGCCCTATGTCCTTCATTATTAAATGTTTTATTTTGCCTTCCTCTGGTCTTGCTCCTAATGGGCTGTACACGGCTTCGGGGTGGGGAGGTCCTGTCCTTCCATTGCTATAGATGCCTCTCTGTGCTGGGCTCAGCCAATGCTTGAGCTCTGCTGTGGTGGGGCAAGATCATAGACAAGAGCCTGTCTATTCTGAGCGATGACTTGAACATGTGATCCTAGGATGTTGTTGGCACTGCTGGCATGTGTTCCACCATGCTGGCTGTGTAGGTTGGTGGCATGTGGAGCTTGTCAGAACAGGACCTTGCCCAGTGTTCACCTATCCTCACCAGGCATGGCAGCCTAAGGAACTGGCACCCTTTCAGGATGTTTCATTCCATCTGCTCAACCAAGGGGAAGGATGGTCTCTAGGCTGAGGTCAATTCTAGCTTCAAATTGCTGAAGCTCTCAGCAACTTGGAGGAACAAAGTAGTGGGCGTTTTGCTTTATTGGATCTGTAAGATGAAGATGACATTGTGCCCAGTTTCTTTGGAAAGGTCACACCATCAGCTTTGCCCCCATCAGCCTCTGGAAAAATATTTCCCAAGGGTTTGGGATACTCTTCAGTTGCACCTCAAGCCTTTGTGGGGTGCTGACCCAGATAAGGTTGAGGCCAGTTCCTAGAGTCATACCTTGGGCCAGGCCCAAAACAGTCACCTACTAAGGCTGCTGCTATGGGACAGGCACAGGGTAGAGTCTGGATGGATGTTTTTCTAATCTCCTACCCCAACTGTGGGATAAACAGAGGTTTCTGTTTTTAAAAAATAGACTACTATATCATGGTTTTGGCGTGTGGAGGAATACAGATGAAGGTATTTTTTTTCTTTTGACAAAACATACAGTAAGGACATATTTCCAATTTTAAAAGTTCATTAATATATAAAATATAAATGGACTCTTCATTTGAGTCTGACTGAGGTCCTACATGTCGTTCTGAGGAATAAACAGTTTTCCTGCTACAAAGCTGTTGGTATAAAGCCTGTTCTCCATGAGAACATCTCCTGGGCACATGATTGGGGGGTCTGAGGTACCATCTAGGAGAACCCCCAGCAGGAGCAGGCTAGGGCAGAACAGAACATTGTAGTTGCCACTGGAACCGAGTCTACTTCCAGCCAAGTGAAGTGGGGCAGGGTCAGCCCCTAGCCTGCCCACGGGAGTGGAACATCTGTATGGCAAGTGACCTAGGCCTCAGAGGACTGTGGGGGCCCCTGGAGCAGTAGAGAACGGTAGGTGGTGGAGGTGAGGAAGCGAGGATAGGAGTCCCGGTGCATAAGGGTGTAGATCTGCAGCTGCGCATCATCAAATGTGTGTGGTGATGGCTCCTGCATCTTCCTATTGATGCCTTCTCTCACCCGGGAGTCCAGGCTCACCTGTGTGGCAGGCACCAAGGTCAGGAGGGGGGCGGTGCCCTTCCCAGGCCACCCCCACTCATCTCTGCATCTGGCCCACCTCCTTCGGGGACAGGATGGACACGTAGTCCTCATAGATAAGTCGCGCCTTTTCATCCACCACATGTTGGTTGGCCTCTGCTTTCAACTCCTCACAAGCCAGCCAGAAGAGCATGTTCTCCTCACTGTATTCTGTGCGCAGGAATGCCCGGAACACACTGCGGCCCGTGGGGCTATGCATCAACTTGTCAAAGGACTGCGCCCAGCTCTGTACTTCCTCAGGGCTTGGTGGAGTGCTGCAGGCATGAGGGCCAGACCATGTCAGACATGTGAGACATACATACAAGTATACATATATGCATGCCTGCACAATGGTGGCCATACTCACCAGACTTCACAGCTGGGGAGGGGTTGCAGCTTGCTTTCCCGAGAAATCTGCCAAGCTCGCTGCCGTTCTTGGTTCCTGGTGGCAAAGGAAAGTGGCACTACCATATGCAGCTGGATTCTCTACACACCCTGTGGCTATATGTATGCTTTGGCATGTGTGTGCCTAGTACCAGTAAATCTGCAGCAAGGAAGGAAACTCTTAGATTGGGCCCTCTTCACAGCCTCTTGTCTGCTGCACCTGTGCAGGTTGCTATTCTGATTACCACTGTGGCCTCTTTCCTGTTGAGCAGTTTGACTCTTTAGGTTCCTGGTACTCATCCCTCTCTTTGCACTGATGGGTAAAACCATACTCCTCCGTCTGCATTCAGCTCCTTCCTGAGGCCACACTGCAGGCCTAACATCAGCAATATGCCTCAGTGGCTGATGTAGGCTGAGAGGCTCTCTAGCGTGTCTGTACATGTCTGGTCCTGGATCCTGACCCCTGCCTCCCTATCAGTCTATGCTCAGCTGGCACAATGGACATCTCATTTCCACAGCTGTGGAGAGAATTCAGTTTCCACTAGGCCTGGCTTTTAGCAATAACATAGCTCAAGCTTCCTTTGAGCCCTCCCTACCTAGTCACATTTCCTTCCTTGTTTCTTGCCTACACACAGTCTAGGTGGTTTGCTGTTGAACAGAATCCCTCAGTCTGTGTAGGGCCAGATTGCTGTAAGGTAGAAAACTTCTACCATCATCCCTACTCCCACCATAAGACATCTCCAGACCTCAAATACTTTTCTGCCTTGGGCCAGCTGCTCCCTTATCTAAGTCTCTTCTCAAAAGTGTCCCTTACTGCGCACAGACTAGGGCCTGGGCAGCTCTCAGTGGTATAAACAGGTATACACACAGTAAGTGCATGGACACCACATGCGTGCCACTTGCTTGCTCTTGCAATGTAATAGACCCCTAGCATACTAGGTATCAGAGCCGCACAAAGGGGCTGGAGAGCACTTACTGATCTTCTGTAAGACCTTGACTTGATACATAGGACCTCCATACTGACTCTCAACAATTTCTAATTTCAGTTCCAACACCTTTTTCTGGCCTCTTCAGGTACCAGGTATATTTGAATACACAGACATATTCAGGCAAACACTCACACACGTAACATTAAGAGCCATAAATGCCCCCTAGAGGACCCTGGGTATTACCACCAACCAACAAGGCACAGCAATCTCTCAACTGGGTGATAGGGTGTCAGGGGCATCTGCCTATATGTAGTTTCTTGGAAGCTTCTGGAGGGTCTAGGGAACAGGACTGAGTCTGAGCCCTAAATGCCACCCCACCCTGGCCCCACATGCTTCAGTGCTTCTGTACTTCTCCTAATGGAGCTGCTCCCAGGCCCACCCAGCCCGCTCTGTGCTTCATGAACCATGTACCCGCAGGACTACATACACTGGTTTTGCTCCCTATGAGCCATGTACCCCTGCCCAAATATCCTGGGGCCTTCCCAGTGCAAGCTGTACCCCCAAGGTCCACATACCAGGAACAGCTGCAGCAGCAGCACCAGCATAAGCAGCAGGGGTTGCGACTGGGGGGTCCTGAGGGGGCTGCATCATGGCTGGACATCGAGGGGGGCCTGTCCGCCTCCTCTGGCCCTGTGTGCTGAGGAAGACGGGGCTGCCTCAACCTCCACTCTAGAATTCACTGGACACTTTGCCTCTGCCCACCTTCCCACCTGGCTATGCCCCCAAAGCTATATTTTGGGCCTCAGGTGTCCAGGAACCCAATTTTAGAGTTGGGGAGAGCCTACCTGTTTCTCAGCTTCATGTGGGGTGGGCATGGGTGGGTGGAGGAGGTTGACCAGGATCTGTGGTGCCAGTTCTGGACCCTCACTGCAGCCTAGGAGCTTGGAGGATCTGAGAAGAGGGTTGGAGTTCTGACTGAGGGCCTGTGACCCTGGCCCACCTTGCAACCTCTACACCCACCTCAGAGACTTGGTCAGAGCTCTGCCTCAGCCTTCTACCCCCAGGCTGACTGGTTACACCATGTGGAGGTTCCTGAGTCAGTGACAGGGCTATTGCAGCTCGGCCTCCCACAAAGGGCTCTAAGACACCCCTATCTGCTCAGTACCCAAGAAGCCGGAAACTTGGGTTCCTCTTTTTTGACTTCCGGCTCCTGGCCCCTCCCAACAGGACTGGAGCTACCAGCTCCAGTATGAAGGGTGTCAAATATTCTGACTTCTCCTTCTCTCCAGGGAGATGGGTAAATATACCTCTCAGATGACTGCAGGGTGCTAGGCCTGAAGCACTGAGCACTTGAGTGGGACTCAGAATAAGACTTCCTGAAAGTGCGAGGAATGGGGTATGCACTGATTTGGTCCTCAGCTGCTTCAGACACTTCTGCTTCTATCCTGGTTCACCTCTCTCTTCCTAGGATGCAGAAACTGGGAATGCTAGCTCTGGACGCTGGTGTGGCAATGCGGGAGGATCAGCTGCTTAGCTGGAGCCTTGGGCTCTTCAGCGGGTTTTCTTTTTCTTTCCTTGACGCAGGGTTTCTCTGTAACCTCGGCTGTCCTGGACTTGCTTTGTAGACCAGGCTGGCCTTGAACTCACAGAGATCCTCCTGCCTCTATCTCTCCAAGTGCTGGGACTACAGACATTTACCACCGAGTCCAATGGTTTATCATTCTTGATGTTCGGACCATACCTTCACAGGGGGTTCTAGGAACTTCTCGGGCCACTGAATGCTAACTTCAAATTCCAGTGTCCCCAGGACAAACAGAAGCAAAGCATCCGATCAGCACCTTGGTGACAGTTTTGAATGCCTCCCCTTTTCCCAGCCCGTGCCCACTCCTGTCCAGGTGGAGTCCATCCAGGCTTCAAACCCTCTGATCTATCAACCTTCCTCTCACTAGCCTGGTGAAATTCACCCTCCTGTAGCCCTTCATCCAGCAAAGGCCTTTTAATCCTGTTTCTGTCCCAGCTCTGTATTCTGGGCAGCCTCACCACCTGGAGCTTTCTGAGATGGTGGGTTCCCAAGTCTCCCAGCAAGCAAAGCAGGACACAGAAGTCTCGAAGGCTGTACTTCCCTAGGGTTGAGCTTCCAGGGAAAGAAAGGAGTGTGGTAGCCTGAGGCCTGTATGCTCTCCAGAATCGTCCTCCCTCATCATCTCACCCTGCAGACCGTCCCTCAGAGACTCCATCTAATCAGCTGACTAGACAGGGAACAGTCCGGGGGGGTTGGGCCCTGGATGCTGGGGTCCAGTGAGTGCAGAGGTGGGAGCCTACTCTCTTCTCAGCTGTAGGCTCTGGTCCCAGCTCCCTGCACCCATCAAAGGTTAGTCGGTCGACCCATGTGGCCCAGGGTGCTCTTGACTTCCTTATTGCCTTCCTTCTTTCTGGGGAAGGGGAGCCCAGAGTCTGATCCGGGGTTATCCTGCCCCCACATCTGGATATTGGAGGACCCCTTCCCTCCCCAAGCATCTCAGGCGCTGGCCTCCCAAGTCTGTGCTTAGAGGCCAGATATCGCAAATCTGGTCTCTGAGGACAGAGGCTCCCTGGGGAATCACTGCTAAACCCTGTGTTGCTCCACGGAAGCCAAAAAGAACGTCCAAGCCCGCCCAGAACAAACAAACAAAAAAGAAAAATGGACAATTCCAAAAAAAATAAAAATAAAAAAAAAGTTACAACCTTTGGGAGAGGGGCTGCACAGGGGCTCCATTCCCACTTCCATCCAACACTGTCATTGTCCTACCTGTACCCCCACGGCAGGCCAGGCCTCTCTCACCATGTCGAACCCTGTTGCCCAAAGCCCACCTGTGGGATGGTAGGCCCCACCCAGTTCCTGCTCTCTGCCGGTGGGGTCGTCGGGAGGGCTGGTGTCTTCTTCGCAGTCCCTCCGGCAGTCTCTGTCGCCCCCACCCCTTTCTTAAGGAATTCGCCATGGCGCCCCACTCACCAGCAACCTAAAGGCGGATGGGGGCGGAAGGGCCAGGTTCGGTCTGGGCCCCACCCTGGCTGCCTGCCGAAGGGGCGTGCTCTAAAGCAGCAGGGATTTAAGTCAGACCGCAAGACGCACTCCTGGGCATTCACGAGGTAGGAAGGCTCACAGAGTCCCGCTTGGATGGGGCCGGGGATGCAGCATTCACTCCTAAGGCACACCAGGCCGAGTGGCTAGCAGACCCAACTCGAAGGGTGGGTAAAGGTGGCAGATTGGGTGTCTTGTCTGGCCCCTCCCCACCAGGCTATCGGGCAGGAGACACGGAAACCTGGGTTCTTCCGGCCCCCACCTTTGAGCAATCACTTCTCAAAGATCTGAGCTGAAGAAAAAAGGGGAACCTTGCTGTGGCTCTCCCTCCCCCACACGCAGGGGTTGGGCTCCGGTCCCACGGCGACCCAGGTCCACGTGGACCGGTCACTGAAGTCCGGGAACAGAGCCGGGTATCTACATCGCCCGGACCCGTCCGCGGTCCAGCGCCGCACTCACCGTCGGGTCTCCGAGTCACGCCGCCCGCGGGCTCCAAAGTCCCGCTGGTCGCCGGGGAGGGGGCGCAGGCGCAGTGCGCAGGCGCCTCCGCAGTACTTCCCCAAAGAGAGGGGCCGGGACTTCCTCGAGCCCCAGCGCCTGCTCGCCCGCAGTGCCCCGCCCCGCGCCCGCTCCAGTGCCCCACCCGCAGCTGGCGTATCGCCCCGCGGTAGCGTGGCATGGTGACCCTGAAGGGTGAGTCCTACAGACACAGCGGATTGAGCCAGCGCTCCGCTCTGCTTAGCTGGGTTTCCCCAGCCTTTAAGTGATAGTGCAGGGTCCAGCACCAGAGCTGAGCTCTGTGTGCTACTTGGCTCGCCTGGATAAAAGGCCTTTGGGAAGGACTGGTCTGTGATACTGCCCCGTCCGGCCGACCCTTCGCCTTTCGGAGTCTGGTCTATAAGGTGGGGTTAAGAGTGTCACCCTGCTGTCGAACTTTCCCAGAGAAAGGAAGGTTCAGGAACTGTAGGGTGGGAGGCACTTTGAGAGCAGATTCTTACAGCAAATCGCCTCCAATGTTTCTGGGGCCTGGTGGAGTCCCTAGTGACCTTTCAAACTGCTCCAAGATAGCCTTTACCACAAATGGCCTTGCTCTTTGGTCAGCTCTTCAGATCCTTTGTGATTGGGTGCAAATTTGAATTAGCTCATTATCCCAGCATGCTCTTTGCCAGTGTCCAGAGGCTGTGACCCTGCTTTACACTTGGTGTGTAGAATGTGGTCCGATGGGGCATGTGGTTCCTGCTTTTCTTAGTACTGGAATACAGCCTGTCCAGTTCAGGTGTTGGGTTCTTGCAAACAACAATGTCTTTCAGTTGCACAAGTTGTATATGCTCACAAACTACATACAGAAGTCAGAGATGCAAAGCAGGTATTACACATGAGCCCTTAAGGCAGTGCGCCAGAGACAGAACTGAGATGACTGCAGTGAACTAGAATGGGAGACAGACAAGGAAGGGATAGGGTGAGAGGTGAGGAGGGCAGGATGTTGCCAGGATGCTCAGGGGTCCTGGATGAAGGGAGAACAATGGGTGAGAGCCTGAGACTGCCAGACATCCTGTAATGCTCTGTGGAGCTTTATGAGTTGACCACAGAGCCCTTTGGCTGCCAAACTGATGGCTTCCAAAGCAAGGTAGAGGCTAAGAAGCCCATCTGAACAGGGGCAGCAACTTTAAATAATATTCCTGAGAGGTGGACACAGGTCAGAACAGGGAGGCCCAGTAGAAATGGATCAGTACCTGGTGGAGGCCACAAAACAAAGCTGATTCTGCAGTGTTTGGTGTGAACATGGCTGTGGGTATGGCCCATATGTTTCCCCTCTTAGTTCATTTTTCACGCCTGTTCACTTGTTCTCTGCCTCCTCCCTGCTCTCCGCTCAATTAGCACCTTTCCCTGAGCACAGAAAATGCCTCTCAATCCAGGAAGGAGACCAGGAGTGCTGAGCAAGTGACGCCAGCAGGGATGGAACTCGAATCCCGTATACTCTGTCCCAGAGCAGGCCCCACTTGGCTGTGAATGTGTCACAGGCTTTGCATTCCTGAAGGACTTTCTTTAGACAGAGGGATCCTATGCCACCTTCCCTAGCCTCCTCTGTCAACCCAGTGTCATTTACAGGAGACCAGTGGCATTCTTAAGTTGGTCTGACATTTGGCATAGAGCTCTCATGCTATTGTCCTACTGGCCTTCTCAGGACGTTGGTTTTTGTTCTCACCCCTCTGCTCTGAAGTACTTAATATGGATTACTCACTGTGTGAGACACTGCCCTGAGGTGTCTCTGTAGCCCCTAGGAGGAAATGCAAGGTGAGGAAACTATGGGACTTTAGTGAATGGATGGGAAGTTTTCCTAGGCACTCACCAAATCTCTAGGGACAAATCTCTAGGAGCCTGGCGAGAGGAGCCCAGCATTGGTGTAACTGACTGTCATTAGAGGTCTACATCTCTCTGTGTGTGAGACCCTTACTCCTGGGTAAAGAGACTGTCTCCTTTCCCCGTCCTTACCCATGTCCAAACCTATCATTTCCCTCCCTCTGCCATCTCTCGCACTGCCAGAAATCCCCTTCCCTCCTCCTAAGAGCTGCTGCGTATTTGTGAGTGCTGCAGTCTAGGCTTGGATCAAGGCCCAGAGCATCAACAGGCCAGAAACTGAGAAGGGTCACGTGCTGGGGGAGAAGACCAGCTGAGGAAACAGAGACCTAGGAACTGGTCATCAGGAAGATCCTTGTGGACCACACTTTTGTGGTCTTTGTCTCCCTGCTTCTGTTCTGTTTCATGCAGAGCCAGTGGGAGGTCCCATGCTACGACAGGGGGCTGTCTACCTCCCTGCAGCTTCTTTCTACTCTGTGCATCCTGCTGGGTAGGGGCTGGTAGGAGGACCAGGACAGGGGGCCGAGGGGCCAAGAGGCCACAGGTTCTGCAAAGAGCCAATGCTGCGGAGAAGAGGAAGAACTACCTAGGCTTTTCAGAGTCCAGTAGGCAGAATGGGATGGGTGTCTTCCTTCCTGTGCTCCGTGTTCGGCGGATGAGTGGGCACAGGAGGCTGTCTCTGGAGAAAGGTAGGCTGTGGGTGAGTTTTCTGTCCCACCATCCAGGGATCTTGGAGAGGTACACCCCATTCGGAACCTGTTGGCCATCTGGACATGACTGGACTCTGCCAAGACCAGCTTTGGCATTGCAGTCATTCCCCTGCCCAGAATGCCACCCGTCTTCAGATGGAATGACCCTAACTTTGGAGACAGCCCTGATTTCTGGAGATGCTGGTGTCTAGGCAGACTTATCCTTTTCCGCACTAGTAGCCTTCCATCTCTATGGTCCTGAAGGGCACCGGTTGCCTGATGGGGGCAGGTGGTTGGAAGATATGAGTGTCCACCCACCGACATCTCCTTACTCGGAGAGTCCGGAAGTCTGTGAATGTGGCTACAGGAGAGACAGCATTGTCCTCCCCTGTGAGAGCTCAGAGGGAAAAGAGAAAAGACCCGAGGACTCTCTGTAGAGAACTTTATGTGGGAGGGTGGGAAGCCGCTGTAACCCGGGATCCCTGTAGGCCAAAGTCTGGGTCATCGCGGGAAGATGTTACCATCCACGTCTTCTTCCAGGATTGTCTCAACACGCCTCCGCTGCGGAGAGAGGGGCTGGGGTCAGTGTGTGGCGAGGCACGGGACCCTCCCACCCGTCTCCGGCCTTGCCGGCACCTCTTGTCGGTCCAGAGGATCCGGAATCTTCGTGGGCTTCAGATAGGGTGGCAGGAACAGCTCCAACCGGATGGCTTCGCGCGCAGAGCCCTGCCTCTGGACCAGGATGGCGATTTCCTCTGCCTGGGAAGGGAGTTTACAAAGCAACCCCTGCGAGCGCTCCAGAGGCGACCGGCTCCTCCCGCCCGCAGGGTGGACCCTCTTTCGAGGAGGCCCCTGGTACTCTTCCCTCTACCTACCCGCATTCGGGTGTAGCGCAACCGCAGAGCGCGGACTCGGCTGCGGGCCTCGGCCGCCTTGAGGACGCCCAGAAGCCGATCCTGCCGGTCAGCTGGTAGCTGGAACGCAGGCACCCAGGAGCGCGGGTCGGGCATGCGGTAGGGTATCTCCACAGAGTCATGTGGAAAAATGGAAGCGGTCCCATCTGCATCGTCCAGCAGGTCGCCGAAGAGCAAGTGGCGGCGGCGGTCTATGGGGAGCAAGGCAGCCAGCCCCTCTTCACTCAAGGCCCAGCCTAGCTTCGGTGGCTCTGTAGGCTGCCGGCTCTTCTTGAGCTTCTCACCAGCTCCAGCTCCAGATATGTGCTTTTGGGTCCGCTCCCGTGCAACCTTCCTTCCCGGGGGCGGCATGCTCTTCTCTGTGGAAAAAAAAAAAAGGGGAAGTCCAGCCACCTAGGGGAACACTGTGGCTCCAGCTCTGTATCTGGAACTTCCTGTAGCCACTTAATTGGCATCCCTAACTGGTAACTGAACCTGTGCATATCTGCAGTGGGCCATGACTTCCTGATCCTCTCCAGTTTTAGGAGCATACACGATTTAGGGTTATAAAATCCGGTGGACTGTCCTACAGACCGTTGGTGCTCCACAGCCCACGTAACTGTGGACATGGGTCAGCATCCCCTAACTCCGGAGCACCAGAGACTGGTCTGGTACTGTGCCCTGATGCCTGGTCTTTGGTTGGGATAGGGTTCAGGGAATGGTCCTCCATATCTTGGGCAGAGGACCTCTCCCTGTGAGTGTTTGTGACTACCCACATCTGCTTGAGTTGTGAATGTGTGGTGTTGCATCTGTGTGTATATGGACATATCTGTCCTTGCCCATCCCCTCAAGGGCAGAGATGTGGGGAGCAGAACCGAGGGAAGAGGAAACAAAGAAGACTGACTCAGAGTGGGAAAGGAAACCAACCCTACCAACCATTCCCAGCCTAGCCACAGCTCCTGACTTCCTGTGGATAAGAAGTAGAGACACCTGAGTGCTCTCCCTTAAGTTTGTCTTACCTCTGGCCTACCTACCAGCTCAGCATCCAAGCCTCCCCACCCCAGGTCCTCACACCTTCCTGCCTTTCTGTGAAATACACACCTCAGTCTGGAATCTCTGGGCTTGTTGACTGTTGCCTAGCAACCTGGAACTCCGCCCTCTCCTCACCCTGGCACCACTACAAAGCTCCTACAAAATACCTTTGTGACCAAAGCCCACCTTAAGTCCCTGTAGGAACTCAGGATGCCCTTTCACCAATTCCAGAGCAAGTTTGGGATCTCAGGGGTGTAGCGGTCTACCAAGATGAGATTTGAGTTTTGCTAAACCCTAACTTCCTTTAACCTTGGATGGCAAGCCTTAGCGTTCTATAATATATTGTGCACCCATTCATTTAGTGATTTTAAAAATAACTACTAGCCATGCGCAATGTCACATGCCTGTAATCTCAGCACTCAGGGAAGCAGAGGCAAGGGAATCTCTATGGGTTCGAAGAGAGCCTGGTCTACGAAGAGAGTCCAGGACAGCCAAAGCTACACAGAAATCCTGTCTAAAAACAAACAAAAACAAAAGAAAACTACTGTGGTTTAATTTAATTTTTTTTTTTTTTTTGCCTTTTTGAGACAGGGTTTCCCTGTGTAGCCCTTGCTGTCCTGGAACTCCCTCTGTAGATCAGGCTGGCCTTGAACTCAGTGATCTACCTGCCTCTGCACTGGGATTAAAGGTGTGAACCACTACTGCCTGGCTAGTTTAATTTTTAAATGAACGTTTATTAAAAACCTCTCAAAAAAAAAAAAAAGTCACACACCGAAATTAGCAAGACTCCACATCTATAAATCTCAATAAACTATACAGGTAGAATAACTATTTGGACTAGAAAGGTATAAAGCTAGGAAAGGAAGAAGTCAAACTATCCCTATTTGCAGATGGTACAATTCTTTACTTAACAGATCCTATTGAGTCTACTGGAAAACTATTGGACATAATGAACACTTACAATAAGGTTGCAAGATATAAAAAATCCATTAAAAACAAATCAACAGAAAACAGCAGGGACTACAGAGATGGCTCAGTAGTTAAGAGTAATGGCTGTCCTTCCAAAGGAACCTGAAACCTGGGTTCAATTCCCAGCACCAACATGGCAATTTATAACTCCAGCTCCAGGGGATCTGACACCCTCTTCTGGCTTCTGTGGACACCAGGCATGTACAAGGGTACATGGGTACATGCAGGCAAAACACCGGCATACATAACAAAATAATTAAAGCAAAGCAAAGTGCACAAAATGAAGCATTTGTATCACCAGTGAACTCTCAGAGAAAGAAATCTGGAGAAATATTTCATTCCAAATAACTCCAAAAATTATTTAGGAATACAGCTAGCCAAAGTGGTAAAAGACCTCTACCACAAAAACTTCCAGATATTGAAAAAGTGAACTAGAGAAATGACTCAGTGTTTAAGAACATGGGCTGCTTTTCCAAGGACCTGGGTTTATTTTCCAGCACCCACATGGAAGTTAACCCAGTTCCAGGGTATCTGACAACCTCTTCTGTCCTCTGCAGGTAATACATGTATGTGATTCAAAGACATGCAAAACAACCATACACAAAATAAAAATCAACCTTAAAAAGGACAACAAAAAAGGAAATCACAAAAGATATAAGATCATGGAAAGACATTCTATGCTTCTGGATTGATAGAATTAATATTGTAAATAATATTAATTGTAAACAAAAAGTGCTTTGTTTTGACGCACTTTAAGACGAAGAAACCCTGTCTTAAAACCAAAGCCAATCAACTAACTGAGGCAGAAATTAAATGTTAAAGAAACAAAACTATTAATCAACAAATGAGCAATTGAAGCCAGGCGCAGTGGCACATGCCTGTAATCCCAACACTCTGGGAGGCAGAGGCGGGGCAGCCTCTGTGAGCTTCAGTCAAACCTGCTCTACAAAGTGAGTCTAAGACAGCCAAGTCTACACAGAGCAACCCTGTCTCCAAAAAAAGAAACCCAACAAACAAGCAAATGAGCTGAATAGACAGTTTTTAAAAAAAAAAGAAACACAAATGTTTAATAACTATTTTAGACAGTATTAGTATTCTTAGTCATCACTGAAATGCAAATTAAAGCTGTTGAGATACCACTTCACCCTAGTCAGAAAGGCTATCATCAACATATCTGACAACAAATGTTGGATGTGAAGAAATAGGAACCCTTATTAACTGTTGGAGAGGGGCAAATTAATGCAGCCATTGTGAAAACTAGTTTGAAGATTCCTCAAAAAATTAAAATGAGAACTCCAGTATGACTTAGCTATTTTACCATGGACAGAGAACTCCATGCCCTACCATGGAGGTATTTACATGTCCATGTTTATTGTTGCTTTAGTCGCTATATTAAAGAATTGAAATCAAACTAGTTGCCCATCAACAGATGAATGTGTAATAAAATATTGGTGTAAACATATGAAATGAAATACTCTTCTACCCTAAATAAATGTTATTCCCATATATACAGGCAAAACGCCCATACACAAAACATTCCCACAGAATTTGGGAAAACGGATGCACTTGAATGTATAATTAAATGAAGTGCGGTCACCCAACCTCAGAAAGAAAAAGCCTCAAGTAATTCAACTCTTAACTCTATAATTTACTCCTGTTAATCACCTTGTTTATATGATCATCTTACATAAATTAGGCCAATAAAGTTAATGTAGTGAGTCCATGATCTGTCAATGAGTGTGATTTTTCCAGTGCCTGTGTTTAGGCCTCCTCTTCACTCCTGTGTGGATGGGCGATGCCTTTGGTGTCTAGAATCTGAGCCCCTGCAGGCGGAGCTTCTTTTCATTTGTAGGTAGCACATCCTGGCTGAGAGGTGGGTCCCTGTTTCTTGCAGGTGGGCCTGTTACTGAAATTTAGGCCTCTGCTAAGTTTCTAGACTTTCTTCAGGCTGTTAACTGTTCCCACTGTTTTTGGAAGCTTGCCCTGGCTTCTTGGTTGAAGGTTCATTTATGACTCTGTAAAACACAGTCCGAAAGCTTATCTCTTTATCCCCATAGCTGAGTGGAGTGAAGATTCCCCTTTTCCAGCCCCCAAGCATTTGCATTCCAATGCCCCTAGGAAGCTTTTCTTGGTCCCTTCTTTCCTTTGCAGGTATTTAGGGTGAGGGCTGGACTCTGGTACCAACCTGGGGCTGTTGAGGAGGAAGATCCTGGTCTCAGGGAAAAATAGAATTGGCGAGGTTCACCAGCAGACCACCTCCTCCAAAGCAGACTTCTTGGATTCAAAATACTCAACTGGGAATACCATAGTTCCTATGGATCCAGACAGAGTCCTGGACCATCTCAGCCTCCAGGGCCTATGGTAGCGACACATGTGGGTGAGGGTTTTTCCGGTTTCCATGGAGGGATGGGGTGGGATCACACAGGGAGTAAGAGAAAATTCTGTTCTATGTAAGGGACTATAACTTTTCCTCTGCCTTTGTGGGCTTGGAAAACTCTGTGAATCAGAGTTCTGAAAAAGAACAGCATCTTCCAGTGAACCTTCTGCTAGGCTGATTAATTGAGCACTTCAATGACTGTGGAGAGGTTGAAGTATTGTAGGTACAGGGCATAATTACAATTTTATCTTAGGCTATCGTTAGGCCTCTCATAGTTATTACTTGTCACCTCTGTGTCTGGCCTAACATCTTTGTGACTAACAGGTGAAACCTTTTGGAAAATATTAACAAACCACTAGCTTCCACCAACTCAAAGGCTAAGATTGCCATCAAGATAGCATCTGTGGTCTGTAGCCTGAGGTTTCCCTACTTTGCTGTAACTGCCTGCCTGATATTTCTAGCGATGCATTTGAAAAGTTCCTTGAGCTGTGATTTTTTTGTTTGTTTGTTTTGTTCTGTTACTATAAAAATTTCATGAAACTATTATTATTTGGAACATGGTATTTGGAATAACCCAAATCTGTATTCCTGAGCCATGGCCACTCATATTTGGCTTCAAAATAAACTATATCTCATCCTTTTTGAGGTGAGAGCTGTGTTTTAGCATGGACAGTTATGGTACCCAAACATACCCCAAGAGTGAATCATTTCTCTGGGAAGAATCATCTGCCTTAGAACTAAGCACCATTGTGGAAGCCTTTGTGTCTAAACCATTGGCATTATTTCTTTGGGTAGATTTTGGTGAATTCTTTCTGAGGCTCAGAGCTACCAATGGTTCATTTGTTTATTTTGAACTGGTTGTTTAAGATACTATTTGTTGGATTTTTTTTTCTCAAAGCATTTGGTTTAAGATTTCCATAGTTAGCCGGGCAGTGGTAATGCACACCTTTAATCTTAGAGAGGCAGGAGGATCTCTGTGAGTTTGAGGCCAGCCTGGTCTACAGAGCACATTCTAGGACAGTCATGGCTACACAGAGAAACCCTGTCTTGGAAAAAAGAAAAAAAGAAAGAAAAGTTTGCCATATTTTTATTGAGAATTTAGTACATACATATAATGAGTTTTTATAAATCTACCTTCTAT